AAAACTATCCGGTAAATTTCTGGCCAGGAAAGCCATGATGAAAGCCACACCTGCTAGAAATCCCATGTAACCCAGGAGTATGGAAAATGCCACCATGGATCCTTCATTACACTGAATGATAATTTTTCCTAGACATGAGTGGGTGTTTCGTTCTGGAAAAGGAGGGGAATTGGATAACCAGATCAAACAAATTAAGAGCGGAATAAAAGAAAAAACAAAGACAACGCAGTGGGTACATTTTGCTCGAATACATTTCTTCCAGCAACTTCCAGGCTTGGTGGCTTTGAAGGCTAGATAGACCATGATAGTTTTGGCCAAAATACAGGACATGGTCACAGAACTGATGATACCATATGAGGTGTGACGAAGCAAGCAGGTGGCATGCACAGGACGTCCGATGAACAAAAGTACACAGAGGAAGTTTAACATGATAGAGACCAGTATAAGGAAACTTAGACTTTGATTATTAGCTTTGATGACTGGAGTGTCTCTGTATACAATGAAGATAACCAATATAATACATGTCTTAACAAAACATAGTAAGGAAATGATTGCGGTAACGATTGCTATTGGGTCATTGCTATAGGAGAGAAAATCAGTTGGCTTTGGAGCACACTGGTTCTTATCATTCGGCCATTGGTCCTCTGGGCACTTTATGCATGATCCTTTGTCTAGAAGAAAAAAGATAAATAATATATCTGGTAATTATTCTTGCAAATGTTATCAACACTGAAAAGTGAATGTATTATTTATTTATTTGTATTATTTATTGTGACTGGCAGCATCTCAGAATATTTGTGAAAGTTTTTATGTAACGAATATTGTTTATTTAATTTTAATAAACCAAGTACTTTAAGTTCTCCATGTACCAAGGTGTGCAAAGTCATATAGTGTATTTTCTTTAGAAAAACCACCATGGCCTGAGCAGACATTCCTGTTGCCTGCCAGCCAGCATGTTGCAGAGGAGACCCCTGCACTGTGTGTGGAAGTAGTGGTCTCTCTGAAAAGGTCCATCACATCCTCTGCTTAGTTATAGCTACAACCTTCCAAACAACACAGAGCATGACCCCTGCTGATTGAAGAGCTATAAGTCTAAGGGTCCTTTCACACAGAGTGGATGTGCTTGCTCAGCGGGGATCTCTCCACTGATCCCCGCTGATTAAGTGGATGATAGCTTTGTGTCTGCCCCGCTGATCCCCATCCGTCTCTTTTTGGTGGATCAGATTGGATTTCAGCAGGTGTAAACGGACACATGTCCATTTACACCCACCAATCCATAGAGGAGAATAGAGGATCCGATTGGGTCCGTTTGAAAAGTGGGCAGGTGGTCCCGATCGGAACGTCTGTGTAAAAGAGCCCTAAAACAGAAGGGGGCTTGTTGAATGTTGGCACACAGTCCACTGCTTCCACATACACGAATAGTTCCTCTCTGCAGCAGGTTTGTTATTTTGATGCACTTGGAATATACTCCAGATTTAATTTGAAAGTTGAGCTCTTACCTCTTACGATTCACATGTATATGTGTGGGGACAAAGAGGGGGGCTTTAGGCCCATAAGCCACACATACACTCACCGGCCACTTTATTGGATTCACCTGTTCAATTGCTTGGTGACACAAATTGCTAATCAGCCAATCACATGGCAGCAGCTCAATGCATCTAGACGTGGTAAAGATGACTTGCTGAAGTTCAAAATGAGCATCAGAATGGGGAAGAAAGGGGATATTTAAGTGCCTTTGAACATGGTATGACTATTGGTGACAGGCGAGCTAGTCTGAGTATTTAAAAAACTGCTGATGTACTGGGATTTTCACGCACAACCATCTCTAAAGTTTACACAGAATGGCCTAAAAAAGAGAAAATATCCAGTGAGCAGCAGCTGTGTAGCCGAAAATGCCTTGTTGGTGTCAGAGGAGAATGGGTATTTGATTTCAGTTGTGACTTTCAGATGGTAGGGTCAGAATTTGGCGTAAACAATGTGAAAGCATGGATCCATCCTGCCTTGTATCAGTGGTTCAGGTTGTTGTTGGTGGGGTAATGGTGTGGGGGATTTTTTCTTGGCACTAGTAACGTGTACTTAATAAGGTGGCCAGTAAGCGTATGCTTTCATGGACAGCTGAGGTTTCTGTGCTGCCAGCACGCTCATTGCCCTCTCCCAGCCATATCCAAACTGTCAAAGACAGCTTTTGGTTTCTAGTCATGATCAGGAGTTGGTGGGACAGGGCTCAATAGGGCTCTAGACTGAAAAGGGAAATATCTGCAACCATCTTCTTGATCTTTTACCACTTACAGGATATAGTGACCAATGATAAGACTTCTTGTCCATGAAATCTAAACTCTTAGAATTATTTAGCTCAGCTATGGTCATGTTTACTAATAAACAAGCTGTACTTACCTACAATTACAGTAATAAATGTGGTAGACCTTTAGCGAGAAGGTTGCATCCTAGATCCTGCATTTATTGCTCAAATTTGAAATTTTGAATTAACCCATCCTCTATTCTTCAAGCACTTTTTCTGTATTTCATAACCTATACAACCTTCAGGAATGTATCCCTTCCCATAGATACAGAATCATTAGACTGTGAGATACCATCCTATATAGCTGACACTGCACTAACTACTGTACCTTAAACAATGCAACATGAACTCTTCAGGTAGCTTCCTTTACAAAAGAGGAGCTACTCTTATCCATAAGGACTATACCTTCTGGGAAAAGCCCTGGCCCTGATAGATTTACCCCAGAATTTCATAAGCATTTGAACAACAGATTCCTATCTTTTCTTACTAAAGTTTGCAATTCTGCAACTCAAGGGATTTCAGACCCTTGAAGCACATATTTTCTTAAGACAGAAAACCTGATAAAAATCACACCCTTTGCTTTAACTACCAACCTATCTCTTTAATTGGGGTTGATCTAAAACATTACTCTAAAATAATAGCTAACAGATGACAACCGCTACTACCTAAACTTATCAACTTGGATCAAGTGGGATTCATTTCTGGCCATGAAGCATGGGACATTATGCTCAAATTGATTCTACCTGAGCAACACGTGCAAGCTTCTGATGTTCCTATGTGTTTCTTATATGCTGACACTGAAAAAGCTTTTGACAGAGTAAGCTGGCCCGTCTTAAAACATACCTTGACACAAACAGGTCTAGGGCCCAAAATGATATATATTATGTTTGTACTCTATTCACTCAGCCAGGTTTTGAGTAAATGGATCTTTGTCGTCTAGCCCCCACCCCCAAAAAAAAGGCGCACGCCAGGGTTGCCCCTTATCTCCCCTTCTATAGAACATCTGTCAGTGGCATTGAGGCGCAATCCAAATATCCCATGGTTACCAATTGGCCCATACTTGGCCAAACTTTCCCTATTCACAGATGATCTGCTTCTTTCTGTTAAGCAACCACATATAGCTGTGATCCATACTTCCAGAGCTCTAAAAATGTGAGTTTCTAAGCAGTTTCAAAGTAAACCTAAATCTGAAGTCATCAATGTATCTCTTCCAAAAAACAATGACTGAAATATTAAAGTCAAACTTCCTCTTCAAGAAATGCTCTACATCTTTGAAATATTTAAGGGTACACATACCATCAGACCTTTCCCAGTTATACTCTCGCAGTTTATATCCCCTTCTCCAAAAGACTATATCCAACTTTAAAAAATACAATAGGTAAATGTTTTCATTGTTAAGAAGGATTATTGTCCATAAAATGGACGTTAACCTCCTTTCTTTCTGAAATTACAGAAATCTTTTATTACCTTCATCTGGGGCTTGAAGCAGCCTTAAAAAAATAATAAATTACTTTCCTTTTCCAAAGACAAGGTGAAAGCAAGTTCCCTAATGCCTTCCTATACAACCAAGCATCTATTGCTAGTTTCACACAGAAAAAAAAAACAGGATTCTCACCACTTTTACCCATCTCTTCCTGACATTTGTTGGTGATGTCAAAATTCAAGGGTAATATTACCTATATTTAAGAGATTTTCAGAATCTACACTAAAAATGTATTATAAAGTAATTTGAACATCTGTACCTAACACCCCACAAATTACTTTACTATCTATCCCACCTGGCTCTATCAAATCTACCAAAAAAGTAATCTTTTATCATTTTTGGACAGCTACTAGAGTTGTCATCCCCATCATTTCCTCAGATTCAATATCTAACTGAATCTGAGCTGGAATTAAATTCTAGTATTGATTTGGAACATCTGTTAGTGGTGGAATAAGACAGAAAGGACAAACATATCACTACTTGGGCCTCCTGGACTGTATTTAAAAACTTGAAAAATTTTAAGACATAATAAACTCTTGAAGCAAAAGGCTGTTCCTAGAGCTATGGTAGAAGCGGAGCCTTTCCCTATAACCCCTTCCCCCACCTCTTTTTTTTCCTCTTTCTCATTACCCTCTCCTTCTGTTTCTCAGCGTTTCTTGACTTTACTTATCCATGTTTTGCTCAAGCTAGGTCCTAGATCTTACATTCATATTTTCTCTATATGTACTACTTGCTCCAACTCATTTTTTTAGTATTTCTTTATTATTTTTATTATTTTACGAGATTGGAAATGGCTCTTGATCTAATATCCTTGATACCATCTGGATTTTGTATAATACTCGAAAAGTTATCAGAATGTAAGAATATTGAACCATTTAGATTCTATTTACTATCTATGTTTGATATATTAACCGCTTCCCATCCACCCTAAGTACTGCTACAGGCTGGCACGTGTGTGCAAAATCACGTATATATTCATGATTTTGCATTTCCGGGTAGGGGGCGCCCTACCCATGCCGCCATTCGCGGCCTGAGCTGTCAATCACTGAGTCCCGACCATTGTTTACTCTCCGGCGCCCAGTGATTGCCGAGCATCTCCAATGGGGGGGGGGGAGAACTGTTTGTAAACAAAACAGTTCTCTCCCCGTCTGCTCCTGCACACTGCTTTGCATGACTGTGAGAAGCACAAACACAGCACACAGTTAACCCTTTGATCAACCCAAATGTTAACTGCTTCCTGCCCAGTGCCATTAGTACAGTGTTTGTGCTTTTTATTAGCACTGGTCACGGTAATGGTGTCACTGGGGATGTCAGTGACACCAAGTCAGTTCCCCCCAGTCTTAGAATACCCGCCGCAGTCCCGCTATAAGTTGCTGATCGCTGCCATTACTAGTAAAAATACAAAAAAAAAACCAAAATAAAATCCAAGTATATATACCACCATTTATAAACGCTATAACTTTCAAGTAAACCAATTAATTTACATGTAATGGGATTTTTTTAGCAAAGTCTTTTAGCAGAATACATTTTGGCCTAAATTTATGATGAAATTTGATTTTTTTAATTTTTTTACTGGAAATGTTTAATAGCAAAAAGTCAAAAATATAGTTTTTTTCTCAAAATTGCCAGTCTTTTTTATTTTATATCGCAAAAAATGAAAAATGCACAGGTGATCAAATACCACCTAAAGAAAGCTCTATTTCTGGGAAAAAAAGGCTGTAAATTTCATTTGGGCGCAGCGTTTCATGATCGCGCAATTGTCAGTTAAAGTAACACAGTGCCGTAGCACAAAAAATAACCTAGTCAGGGAGGGGGGTAAATCCTCAGGAGGACAAGGGGTTTACACAAACGCTCATTTTTACTTACCTCCTACATACAGTATATTTGTTTCAAAATGTGGTATCTAGAATATTATTGTGATAACTTCCTAACCAATATCTTATGGTTGTCCCTTCAAAATCCATTAAAAAAAGATTGAACTTTAAATAGGGTTAAAGGATAAGTTCACTTTTTAGTAAAAATAATAAATGCAAATAAAATAATAAATAATTTTGTTTTTTTTTGCAGGTAAAAAAAAACGTGCATTTATTATTTTTGTCTGCCAGAGCCTGTAAAGCATTTGCTGATCTCTTGTCCCATGCAGGTCTACTGCAGATCTGTCAGTATATCTGATTGTCTGTACGGGATGTCACGCACGACCACTTTTTTTGTTTAATTTGACAGCGAAGGGGTAGAAGATGTCTGTCAAAGCAGGAACCTGGGGGAGCAGAGGGTGGTCTGATCATAGCATGTTACATGTTACAAAAGGTGAATTTATCCTTTAAAGTAGTTTTCTTCTAAATAGATAGGCCTACATATGCAGTTAGGAGGAGTTTCACCTGTCTCATTAGATATCTCTCCATCTGAACACTGGACACAATCAAAGCAGCACCGATGAACTCCTTTTGTTATAGCTCTTCTGTAACCATTGGGGCATTCTTCGGAACACTTAGAAATGGGAACCTAGAACAGACAAGATACTTTAGACATATTCATATTCATCCACTCCCTCATCATATCACGACTCGACTACTGCAACTCCCTCCTCACTGGCCTGCCTCGCCGCTGGCTATCCCCGCTTCAGTCGATCCTGAATACGGCTGCCAGACTCATTCACCTTTCCAACCACTCCATCTCCGCCACCCCCCTCTGCCAATCCCTCCACTGCCCCGTACTACATCACTGACCTAATATCCAAGTACCACCCAGCACGCACACTCCGCTCCTCACAGACCTCCTTCTCTCTAGTTCCCTGGTCTCCTCCTCCCATGCCCGCCTCCAGGACTTCTCCAGGGTGTCACCAATCCTCTGGAACTCCCTGCCCCAACCTATCACCTACTCTCCTCTCCTTTAGGCGCACCCTGAAAACCCATCTCTTCAGGGAAGCCTACCCCACCCCCTGCTAACCTGCCGACCTCCTCCACTCTTCCTACCACTCCATCCCCCACAGCTATCTCCTCCTGTACCACTATCCCCTCCCTCCTAGATTGTAAGCTCCAAAGAGCAGGGCCCTCGATCCCCCTCATGTTTTGCATTGTATTGGTATTGTTCTGTCACATGTTCTGTCCCCCTTTGTAATGTACAGCGCTGAGCGAACCATTGGCGCTTTATAAATTCTATATAATAATAATATTAATAATAATAATAATATTATTTTAAATTTAGTTACATTTTTTTAGCTCTGCATGTTTAATTCACCTTCTAATCTGAAATCTGGATGGCATTTTACTTGGACATGTCCTGAGCCACATACAGTTTTCAGTGTTATTCTTGGTGGTTTGAATTCCCAAAAAAACTTGTGGAAGAATGGGACCAAAGTCTGCTCCATATTATGCTTCTCATTTATACCTGCTTCTGCTGGTGCTTGGCAACCTTCATCTTGATTACTATTGCCACCAATTCCCACCCTTCCATCTTAGTGCTCTTAGTAGCATGTTTATGTAATTGACTCAGGCTGTTTTCAGCCACATCATCTCCTCAGGCAGGGAGATTGCCAGGAGATTTCCACCATTTTGCACAAATTTGCATCATTTGCTGCCCTGTAATAAACACTTCTTTTGAGATCCCTTTGACTTAAATGCAATTTATGGTTTAAATATTTAGAATTTTGGAAGTTGGCGAATTAATAAAAATATGTTACACAGTACATCTCTTTATTGACTGCTATAAAATAATGAGTAGTTAAAGTCCACGCACCAGCTGCTTTATTAGGTCCACCTTGCTAGTGCCAAGAAAATCTCCCCCACACCATTACACCACCACCACCAGCCTGAACCATTGATACAAGGCAGGATGGACCCATGCTTTCATGTTGTTTATAGCAAATTCTGACCCTACCATCTGAATATCGCAGCAACCAGTCTGCCCATTCTCCTTTGACCACTGAGATCAACAAGGCATTTTTGTCCACACAACTGCCGCTCACTGGATGTTTTCTCTTTTTCTCTGTAAACTCTAGAGATGGTTGTGTGTGAAAATCCCAGTAGATCAGCCCAGCAATACAGCAACAGTGTCAGCTCACTTCTGAATCTGTCTAGAGCTCGATTTCTCTTTCTCTCTTCATGCCTGACTTGTATTGGGAATTTTACTCCAATAGTCCATTAACTGCCATATTAAAGTTTCTTTCCCGAAATTCATCTCCCATGATTCAATCCTGCCAACTATCAAGTCTCTTGAGCTCCTCCTGCTTGTCAGCTTCCCCTGATGTTTGGAGAATAGGCAGTTTTAACCCATTCAGCTGAAGTCTATCAGAAGTACAGAAAGCACTGCAACATGGTGCCCTAAATCGCTCTCTGTCTCTAGCCAAGATCTTGGCTATAGAATGTTTCCTTATTTTTTTATGCAAACCATTTGTGATTCTTAAACCCATGATACTGGTAAACCAAAACCTCATCCTAAGAACAACCCTAGATTCTAGACCATTTTAAACCAAGTTAGTGATAGCATTCTATATATTTAATTCACCACAGAGGTTTTTTTAAGGTAAGAAAATTTTCAGTCAAAATACACCAACCCACTCTGCCTTTACCCCTCTCCATGGTATATAACATATGGTATTCAGCATTGCACCACACGTACCACACCATGTTTCCAGTAGAGCACAGCTTCGTTGACTACAAGTGCCTTTTCATCTTGTAATGAGGCATTAAAAGTTGCAAAATGCTTGAATCGGAATCTATTATTATTAACAAATGCATAGCTATATATGTTGTAAAAAGTAGCCATTTCTCCTCTCTCATTAAAATAGACTTCTTCCCTCATTGGATCCTGGAAGTAAATTCTTCGTACAAAGTGCTGAAAAAATAAAATGTTTGTGCTGAGCTTTGAGCTTTTGCATAAATTTTACAAATTAAAGTACAGTAGCTCTTCAAGTTTCAGAAATCCCTCAATCTTTCCTGAGGGCTCTGCCAATCATGTAAACAATTCACAGTGTGGTCATTACATCAGTCTCTGCCCTCAAGGAGTCTACAATCTAAGGTCCCTAACTCACAATCATAGATACACTAGGGCCAATTAACCTACCAGAATGTCTTCAGAATGCAGTGTGGGAGGAAGCCCACGCAGGCAAAGGAAGAATATGCAAACTCCAGGCAGGTAGTGCATGGTTTGGGATTTAAACCAACGACCAGGCAGTAATGCAAACCACTTATCCACTGTGCTGCCCATAAGCACCAAGAGTCTATATAATTCTTGTATATGCCCAATATAAAACTATAATTAAATCCTCCACAACACTGTCCAAAAAAGTCCGGTGCCTATTTACTAACAAAATGCCCATAAAACTCAACCTCAATAAACTGGCAAATCTTATTTCTTCACTGTGATTGCCAATTAATCACACAGTCATCAAGTGCTGACCAATGTTGAAGCATTGTAGTTCAATACTGAGGCTCATCTCTGCTAATAACATAGTGGTAGTACTCATATGAACTTTGTTTCAAAGCATTTAAACTAGAACTCCATTTTTGGTTTCCCTATAAAAATTCAGTTTGGCCCATCGTGGTCCAAGCAATTTTCCACTGTTAGAGAAGATTCTACTGTGTATCCAGTAATACAGTGAAGCATCTTGTGCTACATATAGTAATATGAGCTGTATTCCCAGTGGAGTCCTCCTCACTCCCCTTGTGCAGCCAGAAAGAAGTCAAGTCATGTGATATTTTTATCATTGAATACAAGGAGTATGTGATTGGCCGAGGTGAAGAGGTTGGTGGAATACATCAGAATCTTCAGCTTGGAAAATCAGGGGATTCCTTGTATTCATTCACAAAAGAAACAAGGATCTCCCTGAAAGGCTGATATACCACATGACTGACTCACTTTCTTTCTGGCTAAACCAGGGGAGTGAGTAGGACTTGGCTGGAACACAACACATTGGATAGCCAGTGGCCAGAGCCTTCTGTAACACTGAGCAATTCCTTCATTACTACATGAACTCCAGTCTCAGTTCCACACCATCGTTCTGGGTCAATTTCCTAAAATGATGAACTACGGCTTCACAATGTGTGGCTACATGGCTTGTAGTCTCCACCAGAGGGCATGTAATGGGGTGATAATGTTGGAGCACAATTGGGAGACAATTGTTACCCCAAAGAAGTGAATGAACAAGAACCTTCATGGAAGAATCATCAGATAGTCTTTTAAGGAACTGCAAATTTAAAAATATTGCAACTACAATAATGTTTTAGTGCTTAGTTAGTGATTGGATCTGCAAACAATAAACATGTGGCTTTGCATTGTATGGCAAAAGGACAGGTGCACTCTAAACTGAATTAGAACCAGGGGCGGACTGACAACTCATGGGGCAATAGGGGATCATGGGGCCCCTGTGTCCTTGCCCAAACTCAAAAAAGCCTATGAAA